ATATAAATGCAATAAGTAAAAATAAAATAAATAAATGTATTGAACACACACAAAATCTTTTCCTGCATTGCAGGGGGTTGGACTAGATGACCCTCGGGTCCCTTCCAACTCCACAATTCTATGATTCTATGAAATATACAAATGAATAACTGTTGGAAAACGCCAATGGCTTCATCAGTTCGCTTGGTGTCTTTGCAAAGCAGCGATGCTGCTCAGGATCGCCATAGCAACCAGCTGCATCCCTGAGCAACCACTCTCCCTGGGATTCCTGCTACCTGTTATTCTCAAGCCACATCACAGAAATGGAGCCATCAGAGAGGAAGAAACAGCGTTTTCATCCTGTGCTGGAAGCTGACTCAGGTGCACAAGCGACCGCTTCTTAGCCCAAAGAGGCGAAGGCTCAAAGAGGCGAGGGGAACTGGGCCCATGCGGCAAACATCCTCCGAGCACCTTGGAAACTCTAGAGAAAGCATAAATACAAATTAAAGCACTGGTGCTGATATATTACCCATCCTTCACCATAACGCCCCAAGAAGGGTCACAGCAATTAAAATTACATTTGAAAAATCAGTTTTAAGTACAGTGGTACCTCAGGTTACATACACTTCAGGTTACAGGCGCTTCAGGTTACAGACTCCGCTAACCCAGAAATAGTGCTTCAGGTTAAGAACTTTGCTTCAGGATGAGAACAGAAACCACGCTCTGGCGGCGCGGCAGCAGCAGGAGGCCCCCATTAGCTAAAGTGGTGCTTCAGGTTAAGAACAGTTTCAGGTTCTCATTTCTCATCCTGAAGCAAAGTTCTTAACCCAAGGTACTATTTCTGGGTTAGCGGAGTCTGTAACCTGAAGCGTCTGTAACCCGAGGTACCACTGTAATGTCTTATTTTAAAAGCTTTCTCCCAGTGAGCTGCGCCGGTGCTCCAGCAGGGGGTGATGTCTCCCCGAAAGACAGATGCAATTTTCGCCCAGTCCCTGTGGGACGGCCAGAGCTCTGCAAGAGAAAGGAGTCAGGTTAATCCCTTGGCTTGGATAATGTTTTATGCATCAGTGTTTGTAGGCGCACCCAGCTTCTGAAGATATGACCCATCTCTGAATCATGTCGACTGACTTACGTCCAGGCAAGAGGGCTTAGGGAAATGACCTTAAAGTGGGAGTGTCAAGGCAGACCAGGCAGAAGCAGCAACATTGCCTTGGATAATATCTATTTCCTTTGTATATAAAAGAGAGTATGGCATGGCAGGGTGTCACCCTGGAGGGTGAAAGTTGCCTATGACTTACTCTGGATTTACGTATAAGCTAAACAAGCTATAGCTTAGGGCCCCACTCTCTTGGGGGCCCCAAAAAAATTTAAAGGGGAAAAAAACCTGGATGTACATTTCCAAAATAGAAGATAAAAATCAAATAAAATAAAACCCACATACAGCAACAGTGTTTTGTGTTGTGTAGGCTCCTACGATGTAAGTCATGGGCCCCGCCTGCTAGCCTGCTTCCTAAAATATCCCTGGTTTGCTCATTTCTATATATAGGGTGCCTACATTCTGCATGAACTTTGCATTCTGTATGGACTTTTCAACAATTACTTTGATAAGTGGTACCTCAGGTTACATACGCTTCAGGTTACAGACTCCACTAACCCAGAAATAGTACCTCGGGTTAAGAACTTTGCTTCAGGATGAGAACAGAAATTGTGCTCCGGTGGCGGCAGCAGGAGGCGCCATTAGCTAAAGTGGTGCTTCAGGTTAAGAACAGTTTCAGGTTAAGTACGGACCTCCGGAACAAATTAAGTACTTAACCTGAGGTACCACTGTACATATTTAGTTATGTGCAAATGGCTTGAGATTAGGTCCGTATTAGGACCTATTAGGTCTGTAAATTACCATATAGCATATATTCAACACAAAAAACAGCGACAATTTGTTGTGGACAAAGGACAGCTGGACATATAAAGGGCCCCATTACCTTCAGTAGCTTAGGGCCTCATCAAACCTAAATCCAGCCCTGCTTACTTCCAATAAGCTGTGTGCATGCTTAACAAGCAAGCCTGGTAGAATTTCATAGGGTTGTTGGGCAGAAAGCATGCTGGGAAGTTTTTTCTTTTCCTTTTTGCCAAAGCAAAATCATTTTACAAATGACGTTTTTGAGCGGTTTTTATGGCTCAAAAACGGCCACTGATGCCAGCTACAATATTCTGGATATATCCTGGTTATGTCCTACATTACCAGTGCTTTTTTAAACAAATAGAGAATATTTAAGAATTATGTAAAACTTCATTGTACAAACAACTCCATATTAGCAGAAATTGAGTGATATTTGTAAAGGAAACGATCAAAGGAATGTATACAAAGCAGAAAGAAATGGTATTATACAATGTAAACCTGTGTTAAAAAGAATGTTACATCAAACAGTATAATGAGAAGGATGGGGAGGATTGTGCTGATGAGTACTTTTACTATGTAAATAACTTTGTCTCTCTTTTTTAAAAATTTGATTTCTTTGTTTCTTATCTTTGTTACTTCTTTATTTCTTTTCTTTTTCTTTGCAAATTTTCTATTTTATATATATTTTTTTCTTTTTTCTTTTACCTGTTAAAGAGATAATACATGATGTTTGTATAGACATGCAAATCTTTTAACCAATAAAGATTTGATAGTTTTTTAAAAAGCAGTGCTTTTTTTAGAAAAAAAAAAGTGTACACAGTACCGGCACATCTGTTTTTTGTTTTAAAAGCGTGGCACTTACTGTTAACAATTTCATGGTGAGTACCAGCTGTGTTGCCGATGTGCAATGAACGATGGTTGAGAAAGTGATTAATGAATCCTTGATAATAATAATAATAATAATAATAATAATAATAATAATAATAATTCTCCTCTCCTTACTGGGTGTTGTCAGGAAGCATAGCTGGCCCCATGGTGGTAGAGAGAGCTCGTCTTGCTGCCCCTCCAGCCCCACATCCCAGAATGCCTTGGAAGCGATGAGACATGGGTCGCTCCAAAAGCAATTCCAGAAAGCAGAGGTGGTGGGAAGCTCTGGAGAGAGAGCTTTGTGACACTGCGGGGATTTTTTTTCTTTTTAAAAAGTTAAAATAGCAAGCAAAAAAAAGGGGGGGGGAGCAGGAATCCTCAGGCCACCTTATAAGGTTAAGGCAATTGCACCACCACCAGAACATTTGAAATTTCCTTTTCTTCTCCCCATCTCCCACAATGGTTAAAAAAATGAAAATTTCAACACCGCTCTAGTATTAATTTACCAGAAGTTAGTTCTCCTGCTCTGATCCTGGCAAACGCAGGCCGGATGTTTGTTTGTTTTTTTATCAGACGTGGGTTTCCCTTGCTCAGTGATGCAACGAGCCGAAAGGGTTTGGCCACGCAGCCAGAGTCATAAAACTCCCGGAAGAAATACCGTAAGCTCAGAGCAGGAAGGTCTCTCCCTTGAGAAGGCAGTGTTTACCAGAAGGCCGCTTTGAACGCTTGCGAAAGAGCTTTGCAAATCCCCACGTCTCACGTAGGACCAAGATACAGACAGTTCTTGGAACCATCTGGTTCAAAAATCTCCAAATTGCACTGGAAAGCAGTCCTTATAGCTGAGAGCCAAAGCGGTAGATTGGTTAGAGTCTCTCACTAGGACCAGGGTTCAAATTCCTACTCGGCTATGATACTCTCTGGGTCAGCTTGGGTCAGTCGCTGCCACTCAGCCTACTCTACAGGGCTGTTTGGGAGATTAAATGAGGACAACCATTGACACCATTGAGGGCCAGACAGGTCGCCATCTCAAGGACAAGAGTGGATCCAACCTCCATGGACTGGGGACTTGGCCAGGACAAGAGGGGGGGGCAATAAACAAAAATCTGTCCTTATTCCCTTATGGGGGACACAAGAGCCCTTATAGAGTCCTTTGTAGGTTCTCCATCGGTAGGAGAAAAGAACAGAGGCCAACCAGAGAATATTGAGAAGCAAAGCAGCTCATAAGCCTGATATTTATTGAACAGTTGCAACAGGGTGCTCCCCTCACATACAGGAAAGGAGGAGGACCCAGAACCAAAGTGTGCCTGCCCTTATACAGTGGTAACTCGGGTTAAGTACTTAATTTGTTCCAGAGGTCCGTTCTTAACCTGAAACTGTTCTTAACCACTTTAGCTAATGGGGGCCTCCTGCTGCCGCCGCGCCGCCGGAGCACGATTTCTGTTCTCATCCTGAAGCAAAATTCTTAACCCGAGGTACTATTTCTGGGTTAGCAGAGTCTGTAACCTGAAGTGTATGTTACCCGAGGTACCACTGTATAGACATTTTAAATTCCCTGCCCTGGAGCTCATGACCACCCCTCCTTGCAGAGAAAACATTTGGTCAGTTTGGGAGTCAAAATGGTTTCAGGATGGTCTTCCTGTGCTGCTCCAGACATGTGGTCCACATATCTATGTACGTGCTTGGTTGGTACAATTATGAACATCATATATATATATATATATATATGACCTTAATTTTTTTATTTCAATGGGGGTTGGACTAGATGAGCCCTGGGGTCCCTTCCATGATTCTATTCTCTTATTCTGTTCTATCCACCAGGATCCAAATTGCCTGCTTTGCACGACTGAAATTTGCCGGGTCGGGGAAAGCGACTCTGCAAAGGCAAGAGATAACTAATTGGGTTGTTTTGCTTTCGAGTCCCAGGCATGTCATATTATGATGATTAATGTACCCTTTCATGTCCTGGCAGGGCCCAGAGTTTATCCAGTTCTCCAGCTCGACACAATTTGTTACCCTCTCTCGATGAGGGTTCTTTCTGTGTGTTTGCATGCATGTGCCAAGTACATGGTGTTACTTGAGATGTTTCGTTTCCTTGATGTTTACCAAACTTACTGATTAAAAAAAAAAACCTGCAGCTGCAAAACCAAGAGAGGAACCCTGAAGCTCTTCTTAGCAAGAGAAGTCTTAGAATCGTAGAGTTGAAAGGGACTGAAAGAATCATCATTCTAGCCTAATCCACTGCAACGCAGGAATCTTTTGCCCCAAGGTGGGGCTTGAACCCATAGCCCTTAGATTAAGAGCCTCATGTTCTACCAACTAAGCTATCCCACTTGACGTTAATGAGGAAGGGCAGAAACTTTGGGGCTCGTGAGCAAGATCTGCCCTGGTGGGGTGAGCATCAGGTCAAGTTGGCTTCAAAACACCCACCATAGCTGTCAACTTACAGATTTGAAAACAAGGGACCAGCAGCCTCAAAAATAAGGGATCAGCAGCCAAAATAAGGGATTTTAGTCAACCAGCAGCCAAACGAAGCCTCAAGTGGTGGTTCCCACAGCGCAGCAACCCAGCAAAGGGGATGCAGCAAGGAAAACCACCGTCACCTCTCCGCTGGGAAGCGCTGAGCAAAGGCGAGTACCCAGGCAATGCGGCCAAATTGATCGGCACAAAGCATGCAAGCTCCACCCCCTAGTCGTTCTTAAACTTCTTATTGGGTGAGCAACGCAGCCAAGCAACACAGTTGGAGCCTCCCTCCTCCCTGGCCGGCAGGGAGGGAGGGACAGGAGCTGTTTCCTTTGAAACCCGGGAAGTTTAAGGGACATCATCAATAAGGGACAGCAGCGGGACATGGCGCTGGGATAAGGGACTTTCCCGCCAAATAAGGGACGGTTGACAGCTATGAAACCCACCCCTTATTCATTTAGAGATTTTCATCCCCCGTTTCAGAAAATCCGGGAAGGGCTTTAGCACCTGAAATGCATGCAGGAGGTCCCTGTTTCAATCTCTGGGGTCTCCAGGTAAGCCCAGGAGAGAAACCTCTCCCCCCCCCATCTGAAACCCTGGAGAGCAGCTGCCAGCCAGAGTGCACTGTACTGAGCTGCATGGACCAGTGACATGAATGCGTACACACCATGCATTTAAAGCACATTATTTCCACCTAAGAACCCTGGGAACTGTATTTTGTCAAGGGCACTGGTGACTGTATCTGTGCGAGGGGTGAACTACAATTCCCAGGTTTCTTTGCAGAGCCAGATGAGCCAATGGTCTGACTGCACATGCACCATATATTCATAGCACATTATTTCCCCCTAAGAGCCCAGGTTTATTTGGGGGGAAATGATGTGTTTTAAATGCATGCAGCCTCAGCATAAGGTAGCAGCTTCCTATGTTGCTAAATGCAACTGTATGAAATTCAGTCAACAGATTGAGACTGAACACAATCTTCTATGGTGTTGATGATGATGAGCCCAGGACACAATACAAAATATCATTTGTGGTCCTGTGCGAAGTGAAGCAGCAGGAGGAAGCAGGAAATAAACAGGCGAGAGAAGCCTGTTATTTGGGGTGAAATTAGGCCTCAAATGTGATACAGCAGAACAGGGGAGTCACTGAATGTGACTCCCCTCCTCTCAAGCATCCCAAAAACCTGCTGGAACAGAGAGGACTTAACTTCGTGCTGCCTGAACAAATAAAAAGGTATCAGTAATATTAAAGTAAAAAAATTCAGCAAGAGCAGAAGATTAAAAACAGCATAAAACCAATTCTACCAATGATTAATTAAAATGCCTGGCAGCAAAAAGATAAGGGCAGCAAGTCCCAGGAGAAAATGTTCCACAACTGGCCCTCACACCTGCCTTGCCTTGGTCTGCAAATCAGCTCCTCCTCCGAAGGTGAACTTGACACCCAGACCAACTGATGTGGAGGAAGTATTCCTGCATTGCAGGGGGTTCAGCTAGATGACCCTTTAGGGTCCCTTACAACTGCACTGTTTTCTGATTCTATGATTCGCAGTAGAAGCAGCATCGGCCTTTTGAGCTGCACATCAAAAGAAGGTTCTGTTTTTTTCAGAGGATAGTCCCAGAATCCTAGGAACGGCAGTTTAAGGGTGCCGGGAAGTATAGCTCTGGGAGGGCTAAACTACAACTCCCAGGATTCCTTGGGAGAAGCCAACAGCATGCTGAGGTCCAAGGCCACGTTCACACAATGCACTTAAAACAGGCATCCCCAAACTCGGTCCTCCAGCTGCTTTGGGACTACAATTCCCATCATCGCTGACCACTGGTCCTCTTAGCTGTGGATGATGGGAGTTGTAGTCCCAAAGCAGCTGGAAGGCCGAGTTGGGGGATGCCTGACTTAAAGTGTATGGTGCTCCATCCCCATCCCCGGAAAAAAACAAGATATCATGGGAATTGTAGTTTACCCCCACCATTCCGAGCACCTTTAACGAACTACATTTCCCAGACGTCTTTGGGGGGGGGAAGCCTAGTTCTTTTCATTTGTGGTTATTAACAGAAGCTGCAGTCGTGGTTTCCTTCCCAATTTCGCAAGTAACGTTGCGCGCAAACGGCGTTTCTCCTATTGTTCGCTCGGAAAAGGCGAGGAGGGCAGACGCCGCAGCCCAGCCCGTGTGTTTCACCCCGATTAGCTCACCCGACCCTCCTCTCCGCCCCGTTTTGGGGATGGAGGCGTCACCTGAGCTGACGTAGCCAGGCTGGCTGACCCTATATAAAGCGCCGCAGCTTCAGCCCCAGCCTTTAAATCCATATACGCCTCTGTGTTTTTTTGTGGACGTGGAGTGTACTCCCAAAATCTCCTTTGCAAATGGGCTCCGTCGCCTAGCGTTTACTCCCCTGAGCCAGGTCACCTGTGGTCTGAAGCCGCTGGGATTTTGCTGAGCGAAGCGTTAAGTCTTAAAGGTAAAAAAAACCCCTTTCCCCTCTCTCCTCCTTTTCTTTTTCTGGCCGCCATGTATCACGGCTCTTCTCGCTCAAAGATCTGTGAGCTTCCGCCGTTAAATTTTTTTTAAAAAGCATATTCATCTTGAACGTTGCGCGTAATTGCGTGGATTTAAATCGCTTGCATGGTGTTATTATTTATTTATTCCCCCCCCCCCCAATAATTCAATCTGCTGAATCCTGGGGGAAAAACACTACAGAGGAAAGCGTCGCTGGCTTACCTTTGGGGTTTTTGTAATTTATTTTTATTTGAAAGGTAGTAACACGCCTGCTTAAGGGCCGTCTGATTTTTAAACCTCTGAAAAGTGAAAGGTGGGCTGGCGGGGGGGGGGGTCTTAGGTTTGTAATTTCGCCAAGCACACTTTGCTGGAGAGGCTCGGCTCGAAGTACACAGCGACTCAGAAAACCGCACTGAGGCGAATGCGACTTGCTCGCATGCAAGCGGCGCTTAATTAGGTTTACAACAGAAGAAGCCCTTATTGGAGGCGGCGGCGGCGGGACGTAGTTCCGAGCAGGCTGTTAAAAGCGCTGGAGAAGTTGTGAAATTGGAAAACGCCGATCTGTGTTGGCTAAAGCCAGCGCCTCGGGTTATGGCGGCTTGTTCGACTGCTGCGGGGAGGGGGGGCGCAGGGTGGGGGGGAGCGACCTTTGCTCTATAGCCCCTGCCAACTTTTAAAATGTGTTGATGGTACTGAAAAGTGGGAGGAATGCGCGGGTTTCGATCGTTCAAGCAGTTAAGGGAATCGCTTCGAGAAGGGGGAGATTTGTTTTGGTAAACCGTAAGGGCGTGATTGTTTACTTCCTGACGGTGCATCCGCTGCGAACAAAGTGAACGTTCTACTCGCTTGATGAGCGTTCCATTCCCGGGTCCCAACGTTCCATTCCCGGGTCTCAACGTTCCATTCGGGTCTCCGCCCTTTCTCGCGGCTTGCAGACCACCGCCTTATCCAGAGGGGAGGGTGGGGGGCAAGGTTGACTGGAAACCTTTTAATTTTATTACCTGCAACCCAGTTGCCACCACTCGGGCGGTAGTTTTCTTTGCGTTTTCTCTCCCGCTGGTGGGACTTAAATATTTATCCGTTCGCTCCTTTCCAATCCGCCGCCTTTCGCTGGCTGACAGATGTGCTGCAGTCCTGCTCCTGCATGTGTTGGCTTTGTGGCCATATTGGCTGAGAGCAAACGCTCGGGGCACCCACGCCAAAATTCGGCTCATTGTTCGAGCTTTTGCATATATATATTTTTCTACATCTGTTCCCCCCCCCCCACTCTCGCTTCCTCCTCCGTCCCCCGAAATGCTGTTTCGGCACGCAAAAGCGGCACGCGCCCTGCTTGTTTGTGTCTTTCGACTGCAAAGGCTGGGGGTTGAGGAAGGAGGTTTCTATATGTGTAGGTTGCAGCAAGCCAGTTCAGTCCGGATTTTGGCTGTTTGGCTGTGGAAGACTTCCCCCACCCGCTAAACGCGCGCACACGCACACAAGAGATATGAGAACATTCTGTAGAAAGGCACAAAGGAAGGGAGGATCTGGCCACCCACACTCCTGAGTCAATTGAACGTGGTGTTGAGGTCCCTCTACCCAGCAAAAATCTCAATTATTTTACTTGAGGTAGAGGGAAGAGTTTAGCGTGTGCTTCTGGCTCGGAGTGCATTTTTGTAGCCCAGAATCTCTTTCCACTTGAAAGGAACTGGGAATGCGCCAGTCTGTTCTGACAAAAGAGAGAGGAGTGTGTGTGTGTGTGTGTGTTTAAACTGGTATAAACCAGATCTCTGATTTCCTGTTGGTGGTTTTGACTCATTTAATGCCATGTGTCCTCTGCTTTTTACCAAAACAATAGACTAATAATGTTCCATGTTAGTCTCTTGGCAGGTTGATAGTTTACAGTGTGGTAACATGCAACCCCTCCTAAAGTTTAAGGGGGGGGTTCAAAGTAAAGGAGATTTCTACTCTTGCAGAGAATGGCTTTTGTTGGTACATGTAAGGGCTTAAGAGAAGTTTTGCTTATTCAAATCAACGTCTGGGACCACATCTAGGGGAACTCTGTGGGGCTTCTTAATGGCCAAGGTCAAAGGGACAGACTTGACTCCTTGCCCAAACAGTGCACCCCACTTTTAACTTTTTTGGTTTGTTTGTGTGTTCTACTTTTTTTTTTACTCTGCTTTCAAGTTGACTGTTTACAAAAATGTAAAACAATAGAAACCTCATATCTATATAATTAATAAAATCCGCAATGCAACAAAACATTGTTCTCTACAAGTGAGGGAATAATGCTGTTTTAGTCCTAGGGAAAAAGTAAAGCCCTGCATTTTAGGGAGGGGGGCTAAGGGGGTGCCAAAACAACCCAAAATGAAGTTTTTAAACTTATCTCTCTGTCCACAGGGAACATCTTAGTCTGATTTGTGTGAGTCCTCCATGTAGAAAAAACTTTGGCTGGGTCTGTTGGGAGTTGTAGTCCAGGCATAGGCAAACTCGACCCTCCAGATGTTTTAGGACTACAACTCCCATCACCCCTAGCTAACAGGACCAGTAGTCAGGGATGATGGGAGTTGTAGTACCAAAACATCTGGAAGGCCGAGTTTGCCTAATCCTGTTGTAGTCCAACAAGGTTGGGAAAGGGGTTCTAATGAGTGAAATTATATAGAAATATTACATTCTAGCGCTAGCACATTTTGTTTGGTCATATTTACATTATAGGCTTCCAGAAGAATAACATCACATCAACACCGTAAAGCACATGGCTTCTCCCCAGAGATTGTTGGGAACTGTAGTTCTCCCCCCAGAGCTACAATTTCCCGCACCCTTAACAAACTACAACTCCCAGGATTCTTTGGGGGAAGCCATGTGTTTTAAATGTGTGGTGTGGCTGAGCCCCCACTTTCTCCACTAAATGCAAACTGGTTAATCAAGAGGCAGCAATGGGGTATTACTACAAAAATCCTACCATCACCACATCCTTGAGTTAGGTTCAGGGCTTGAGCTTGAATCCAAGCTTGAAATGTTCAAATGTTTTTTATACGATGCAAGCCAGCCAAGATTACCCAATGGAGTGCTGTTTTCTCTTTTATACACAGCAGGCTAATTTTTCTCCTGAGTTGCCCAGTGTGTTTTGACTGTTCCTGTTAGATACTCCAGACCTGATGAAAAGGTTGCTAGGAACTGGGAGCTCCTGCCTTTTGGGAAAAAAAAAAAGTTAGCCAAATACTAAATACAGACAAAAGTGTCAGTTTAATTCTAAACCCAAAATATTGATTGGCAAATTTAAAATGTCATGTAAAATTAATCCCTGCTGCTTCTTGGTCTTCTTCCCTCTTACCCCATGTTATTTGCACTTTGCGGCTGATCGTTCCTTCTGCTTGCTTCTGGGCGCAGGCAGGAAACGTGGATAAATTATTATTATTTATTGAATTTATATACCGCCCTGTACCCTAGGGTCTCAGGGTGGTTCACAGAATAAAATCAAGATAGAAAACCACAAGATAGTAAGGTAAAGGTAAAGGGACCCCTGACCATTAGGTCCAGTCGTGGCCGACTCTGGGGTTGCGGCGCTCATCTCACTTTATTGGCCGAGGGAGCCAGCATACAGCTTCTGGGTCATGTGGCCAGCATGACTAAGCCGCTTCTGGAGAACCAGAGCAGCGCACGGAAATGCCGTTTACCTTCCCGCCAGAGTGGTACCTATTTATCTACTTGCACTTTGACGTGCTTTCAAACTGCTAGGTTGGCAGGAGCAGGGAGAGCTCACCCCGTCGCGGGGATTCGAACTGCCGACCTTCTGATCAGCAAGTCCTGTGGTTTAACCCACAGCGCCACCCGCGTCCTGCAAAACCACGAGATACCTAATAACAATAAAACTGCAGACCAATAGCAGAGGTTTTGGTAAAAGGTACAAATGCAGAACCAAGCCAAACTGACAACTGTTTCTTCCCTCACGGAAGTTGGATTACAGGCAGCTTACTTCTTCCCCCAGCAGTTGGCTGTTGTGAGCCTGTCTGCTTTGAGAGGCTTGGCTGTGCCAAGGGTTCTGGAGTTTCACTTCGGTCTCTGCCCACGCGCCATCTCCAACAACGTTTGCAGTTTTGTTGTGGAATGTGCTGCCGCAGCATGAAACATCTGGCAAGCACTCCTGAAAAGGCTGCTCAAAGAGGTTCTTGTGTAACAAACCAGCTTCGAGAAAACCATGCCATGCAGAACTGGAGGCAGGGACCCTTCTCATGCGCTATAGACCAGTACAGACCCGGTTTGCCCCATGCCCTGCAAACTTGGTGGGCAAACAGATCAGATCACTCACTGAGCAGCCTGGAACGAATATTGCCATGCCCTCCTCCACGCTGCGTTTCTGATTCAGGTGCAAACTTAACTCGCAATCCTCCAGCCAGTTAGCAGTGCTGGGATGTGGTGAAATGTTCAGTGCCCTCCAGGGATGTGGGACGTCTGATGCTCCCAATTTTGTTGAGCGCCTGCTCTCCCGTCAGTCCCAGCCAGCGTGGTCAGGGCAGATGGGAGTTGTAGTTTAGCTGCAAGCAGAGGACCACAGGTTCTCGGTGCCCACGTGGCTCACATGGTTTGAGCAAACAGCTTCTTGCATCTTGAGGAGAGCTCACACAGGTGGTCTTTGCATGGTGGGTGGGTGGCGCTGTGGGTTAAACCACAGAGCCTAGGACTTGCCGATCAGAAGGTCGGCGGTTCGAATCCCTGCGACGGGGTGAGCTCCCGTTGCTCGGTCCCAGCTCCTGCCCACCTAGCAGTTCGAAAGCACGTCAAAGTGCAAGTAGATAAATAGGTAGGAAGCTCTGGCAGGAAGGTAAACGGCGTTTTCGTGCGCTGCTCTGGTTCTCCAGAAGCGGCTTAGTCATGCTGGCCACATGACCCGGAAGCTGTATGCTGGCTCCCTCGGCCAATAAAGTGAGATGAGCGCCGCAACCCCAGAGTCGGTCACGACTGGACCTAATGGTCAGGGGTCCTTTTACCTATAGCCACTGATGCCTTTTGAAAAGCATGGGAGTGAATCTTGCCCTTTAAAGCGGCCTGTGCTGGCCTGGGACTGAGGGGAATTGTAACTTCAAAAATGCAGAGGGCACCAGGTTGGTTGGCATCTGTCTGTCTCGGGAGGCAACAGAGGAGTGCCCCTTTGGGGGTGAGCGCAAGCTGTTGGACGGTTTCAGCGCCTGCTGTGGCTGTAGAGACTGATAGGGGAGAGACATGTTTTGTTGCAGCTGGGGCAGAGGAAGGCGTCCGGTTGTGTTGCTGCAGATGCCCCATAGCCTTTCTCCTGTGTTCGTCTTTCTGCACCAGGTTACAGTCTCTCTTTATTACAGCTACTCTTGTTTTGTCTCCCAGGGTTTACAACTTGCACAAGAACGAAGACAAAGAAACATGGCAGCAATCCCGTCAAGCGGCTCCCTTGTGGCAACCCACGACTACTACCGAAGTAAGAAAGGGGAAGGGGGCGAGTTGTGCAGAGAAAGGTCCAGAGTGAGCCCTTGGCGTCTCCAGGACCTTTGGTTGTGGGGCTGGGAAATATTTGTGCTTCATGCCTCATAAGAATCAGTGCTGCAGGTCTAGATCAGGGTTTCCCAGACTCGAGTCTCCAGCTGTTTTTTTGACTACAACTCCCATCATCCCTAGCTAGCAGGACCCAGTGGTCAGGGATGATGAGAATTGTAGTCCCAAAGCAGCTGGAGTACTCTAATGCGGGGGTCAGCAATCTTTTTCAGCAGGGGGCCAGTCCACTGTCCCTCTGACCTTGTGGGGGGCTGGACTATATTTTTTTTTTGGGGGGTGTGAATGCATTCCTATGCCCCACAAATAACCCAGAGATGCATTTTCAATAAAAGGGCACATTCTACTCATGTAAAAACACGCTGATTCCCAGACCGTCCGGAGGCCGATTTAGAAGGCGATTGGGTCGGATCCGGCCCGCAGGCCTTAGTTTGCCTACCCATGCTATAATGGTTAGGGTATTGGACTATGACCGGGGAGACCAGAGTTCGAATCCCCACTCAGCCATGAAGCTCCCTGGCAGACCTTGGACTAGTCACTGCTGCTTAGCCTAACATACCTCGCGGGGTCGTTGTGAGGTTGGGGGGGAGGAGAACCATGTACGCCAGCCGCCTTGAGCTCCTTAGATGATAAAGGTGATATATCAATGTAATTGATGATGATGATGATGATTAATAATAAATAATTAAATAATTAATTATTAATAATAATAATAAAGGTGGAGAATGAAGTAAAATTAAAGATGAATAAAAAGAGGGGGGAATAATATGTACAAATAACACTACAATGGTACCTCAGGTTACAGACGCTTCAGGTTAGACTCCGCTAACCCAGAAAATAGTACCTTGGGTTAAGAACTTTGCTTCAGCTTGAGAACAGAAATCGCGCAGCGGTGGTGCAAGGCCCCATTAGCTAAAGTGGTACCTCAGGTTAAGAACAGTTTCAGGTTAAGAACGGACCTCCGGAATGAATTAAGTTCTTAACCCGAGGTACCACTGTAATGATAACAGTAAATCACCATCGGATCATGTAAAGGACCTTTTTATCATGTTAGAATAATAATAATAAAAAACCCCTGTTGGTGGGCTATTTTATTGCAAAACCATGATGCTGTGGGCACTCTGGCTCTTTCTTAATAGCCCCCCAGCGCCCAGAAATGGATAGAGGCTGGCTAGAAAATACTATCCTTGCATTCACCACAATCATGCACAGATAGCTTGTGGGAGGGGGCAGGCGTTCCTGTGACTTGCACTGGAGTGAGTCTGGAGCAGGGAACAAATCAGTGATGGCCAAACTTGGCCCTCCAGCTGTTTTGGGACTACGATTCCCATCATCCCTGACCACTGGTCCTGTTAGCTAGGGATGATGGGAGTTGTAGTCCCCAAACAGCTGGAGGGCCAAGTTTGGCCATCACTGGAATAAATGAAAGGAAAAGAAGACATCTGCTCGCCGGCTTCTCCAGACCTCTCTGGGTATCTTGAATTACAGTGGTGCCCTGCAAGACGAATGCCTCGCAAGACGGAAAACCCGCTAGACGAAAGGGTTTTCCGTTTTGGAGGTGCTTCGCAAAACGAATTTCCTATGGGCTTGCTTCGCAAGACGAAAATGTCTTGCGAGTTCCTGCGGGATTTTTTTCCTTTCCCCCCCCTTTTTCCCAAGCCGCTTATCAGCTGATCCGCTAAGCCGCTTAACAGCTGATCCGTTAAGCCACTAAACCGCTTATCAGCTGATCCGCTAAGCTGCTAATCCGCTAATGGGCTTGCTTCGCAAGACGAAAAAACCGCAAGACAAAGAGACTCGCGGAATGGATTCTTTTCGTCTTGCGAGGCACCACTGTACGCTGCTCAGCACCCACCTCGCCCGGGGCCTCGAGCTTGCGGGGGCCGCTTCTCAATAATCCCAACATCCTCCTGGTGTTTTATTCCCTTTAAGGGAACCTTCCTAAACGTTAGCGCAGAGGGAAAAGGTGCTGCGTTGGAGCCGAGCCCCCATAAAAGGTCAGCTCCAACGGTTCTGCTAAACAAAGCCTGAGTTTGTTGGACGGGAGGCTGAATGTCGTCCTTTGTCTCTCTCTGGGCTCCGAGCCCAGTGTGCTCTTCTAAAAGTGTAGCGGGGCTGGTGTTGCAGGAGAAACCAGTAAGGGAAAATGGCCTCCGTGGCTAGGTGGGGTCCCCTCTCTGCTCCAGTTCTGAGAAATGCAGTTCTTTAGCCAGCAAGAGTTTTGAGAGCAGCTGCTGTTTGGCTCTGCAAACGCTCTGCAAAATTGCTATTTGTCGGCAGGCAGCGCTCCAGAAAGAGTTTCCCGTTGCTTTGACCATTGCTTCCAGTGGAAGTCCTTGCTAGAGACAAAAGTAGTGTCCGGTCTCTCCTTCCCAGTTTCAGAAGGTCTTCCCACGGAACACAGCACTGGGGTTGGAGCCACACCATACTTTTAATGCAGATTAAAAGCTCACAGCTCCTCTCAAAGAATCCTGGGAGCTGCTGTTTACCCCTTGCACGACTACAATTCCCAGCACCCTCACGAAGCGGCTCTGACATGGATGTTCACACCGTGCAGGTTGGGAGTAGGACTGGGCAATATATTGATATACAGTGGTACCTCGCAAGACGAATGCCTCGCAAGACGGAAAACTCGCAAAACGAAAGGGTTTTTGGTTTTTTGAGTTGCTTCGCAAGACGATTTTCCCTATGGGCTTGCTTTGCAAGACGGAAACGTCTTGCAAGTTTGTTTCCTTTTTCTTAAAACCGTTAAATACAGTTGCGACTTGACTTTGAGGAGCAACTCATAGCACGCGGTGTGGTAGCCTTTTTTGAGGTTTTTGAAGACTTTGGTGATTTTTGAAGCTTTTCCAAAACTTTTCCGACACCGTGCTTTGCAAGACGAAAAAAACCGCAAGACGAAAAAACTCGCGGAACGAATTAATTTCTTCTTGCGAGGCACCACTGTATCATCCAAAAACGGGTTTGAAGTCGTTATCGTGATAAAAAGTGGAAAAAATGTGGAAAAAGCCGTGAAGCCAGATGATGCTTCTACGTAGCTCTGTCCTTATTTCAGACCTCGTGATACATTGGTATGTCATGAATACCTGGCGATATAGCACGATGTTGAAACCCAGATACGGCCCCGCCCTGGTTAGAAGAGAGCCAATGTGGTGTAATGGTTAAGAGCGGTAGACTCGTAATCTGATGAACCCGGTTCGCTTCCCTGCTCGTCCACATGCAGCTGCTGGGAGACCTTGGGCTAGTCACACTTCTCTGAAGTCTCTCAGCCCCACTCACCTCACAGAGTGTTTGTTGTGGGGGAGGAAGGGAAAGGAGAATGTTAGCCGCTTTGAGACTCCTTCAGGTAGTGATAAAGCAGGATATCAAATCCAAACTCCTCCTCCTCCATAGGGAGAGCTCTGCTGTGGTTTGTGTTATTCCTGCATTCAGCAGGAACTGTGGTGCATGGTGATCTAATGGGGCAAAAACCTCTTGTCTTGCAGGGCGTCTGGGTTCCACTTCCAGCAACAGCTCCTGTGGAAGTGCAGAGTATGGGGAGGTCATCCCTCACCATCCAGGTCAGTATCTTTGCTTTTGAGGGTGTCGCCTTTGTGGGGGACGGTCCCTGGGCTGCCTGCAGGCTCGTTGTAGGGTACGTCTTTGGTTCCTCTGGAGCGCTGGCTCGGACCGCGATGTCTTGCCCTTTGACCTCTGCTCTTGACAGGTGTGCAGTGTGTTTTAGGGCAGTGCCACCAGTTCACCGGGTGCCCAGGGACCACTTGCCCAGCTTTGGGGAAAGGGGGTGGCAAGTTCTGGCAAGGTCTCCCCCCTCCTTCCTAAAGCAGGCAAGCTCTTGCTGGGCTTTGGGAAGGACGAAGGTGGGCTCTAGGACCCGGCCAGAGCCTCATACCTGCTTCCCAGGCTTTGGGAAGGGCTGGAGAGGGCAGCAAATTTTGATCTCGCATAGAGCACCATATCAGCAGGGTCTGCCCTTGGTGGGAGTCCTGTGGCCGGGGGTGATGGAAGTTTTAATTCAACATCATCTGAAGGGCCTGGCTTCCCTATCCTTGGAGTATGTTCAGGCCTCTTGTGGAACTTGGGTCCAGGATACCTTAAGGACCGTCTGAGCTCTTGTATCTCAGATCAGTCTCTGACATCATCCGGAGAAGGGCTGTTAGTTGAAGTTCAGCTGTCTTCCACTACAAGCCATGCATTTTGTGTCTCTGGTCCCATTCCTGTGGAACACTCTTCCAGTAGAGATTCATAAGGCATCCTTGCTTTTGCTCTTGATGAAGACTTTTCCTGCCCACGGGCAAATGCTGCCATTTAAAACCTTTTGAGTAGCCAGCAATTTTAATGATTGCTTTTTCCCTGGTTTTATATTTTGTCATGTGCATATTGTTGTACAACACCCTGATTTTTATTTGTGTGTGTGTATGCTTCTATAACATATTATTTTTAACTTTTATTAAATTTGTTGTTTTTTTAAAAAGATATTTATTAAAATTTTCAAGATATTACAAAATGAAAAAAGAAAAAAGAAAAATACAAAATAAAAGTAGTTAAAAACAACTCAATCTTTCCGTTACTTATCTTTCATTACCTTGTTTCCCGGACCTCCTCGTGCCTCCCTTTTTTGTATTCCAGTTCAGTTTGTTAGTTCAGCAAATCCTTCCCCTCTTTGTTTATCCTAGTCTTTAATCTTAAAATATTGTGACATTAAATTTTTACCTATTAGTAATCGTTAACTTTTATTAAATTTGTATTCTGCCTTTCATCCAAAGACTACAGGGTGGTTCACAACATAAAAATACAAAATGAAATACAGCATACATAATAAAACAATCCAATAGCCTCCCTCCCCCAGACACATTTAAAAGTCCGTAGAATGTTCACCATGCCAAACGCCTGGTTGAAGAGAAACTGTTTTTGCCTGGTACCTAAAGATATGTAACAAAGGCAGCAGGCAAGCCTCCCCGGGGAGAGCGTTCCACAGACATGGAGCCACCACTAAAAAGGCCCTGTTCTCATCTTGCCACCCTCTGGACACAAAGAAGGGCCTGAGATGATGGCCACGGGGTCCAGGTATGTTTATATGGAGAGAGGCAGTCCTTGAGATATTGCAGTCCTGAGCTGTTTAAAGCTTAATCGGTTAAAACCAGTACTTTGAGTTGGGCCCGGAAATTAATTGGCAGTCAGGCCAGGATTGATGAAATGTGCTCATACCGTCTTGTTTCGGTGAGCAATCTGTCTGCCAAATTCTCCACCAGCTGGAGCTTCTGAACATCGAAGAGGAATCCCCATTTTCTGACTGTGACACTTGTGTCCATTCTCATAGGTCTCCCCAAGTCTGACCCTGGGCACTGGTGGGCCAGCTTCTTCTTTGGAAAGACGACCCACCCAGTCATGACAACTTTGTCGGAATCCCCAGAGAAGTAAGTGAAATTGTGCCGAGTTTGGAAATGGAATATCACGTGTGTGTGTGTTTGGATCTGAAGTGAGGATCTTGGAAAATCGTGAACAGACGTGTAACTGGGATAGGAGATGTGGGAAGCTAATGTTTTCTCTGCCCCGCTGTTCTTCACTGATTGTGTAACTAGCTCAATCCTTGTTCTTCCTGTCTATATACTTCCTAAATGGGTAGATTAGTGTTTGGAAAATACTTAAGCGTTGCATTATATTTCCAAACATTGGCATATGGTCCTATGTGGGGATGGGTGGAGTGTGTGCAATGTAAAAGATTTGTATCTGTTATAGAATCAGAGTTGGCAGGGACCTCAGGGGTCATCTAGTCCAACCCCCTGCCATGCAGGAACCTCAACGAAAGCACCCATGAGAGATGGCCATCTCAACTCTTCATTTAATCCACACCTGCTTTTCTGCATCCAAATAGCTGGGCGAGAGGGAAGATTTGCGTGCAGCGCAAGTTTCTAGTCCCCTGTGCAAGGCCATTTATTTATTTGCCTTATAAAAACGAATCCCTAAGCAGAGTACAACAACAAAAAATGTGTAATACACACTAAAATTAAGCAAATGACTGAAAGCAGATGGTAACAGTAATAAATCAATAATAACAAAAAGCATACGCTCTTTGCACATTAAACTCACAGTAGCTAGTGGGGAGAGTTTATCCCTGGTCAGGCCAACATAGGCAATTTCTGGAGAGAGAGAGGATATTGGGTAGATATAATTCAGATTTAGTGGGTTTGGGCTTCTGAGTAAGCACATTTAGGATTGCTCTGTACGCTTTCAGGGGAAGTGGGCTACCATATTGCTTAATCGGTAGAGTGTGAGACTCCTAATCTCAGGGTCCTGGGTTCGAGTCGCATGTTGGGCAAAAGATTCCTGCATTGCAGGAGGTGGACCAGATGAACCTCGTGGTTCCGACTCTACAGTTCTGGGATTCTTGAGTGATGATACTGCCGTTCTGACCCTCCGATCTCTCTCCCCTCCCTCCCCTTTGACCTTCCAGCTCAGGCACTTTCCAGGTGGCGAACGGCATGATCACATGTGGCCTGGCTCAGGACGTGATGAGGAAGCGCCACGCCAGCGAGCCCAGCAAACCGAACGCGGGTCCCACCGCGTGAGGAGGCTGGCTCCCCCCTGGCCAGACGCTTCTGACTTGAACGCTAGGAGGCAGAGCCCATTTTCCACTCCCCTTCCCCGTAGAGTAGGGCAGGCTGCTTCGAGTACTCCTTAGACGTAGGTTTTTATAAAAGCAAGAAACGGCAACTAAAAAGGAAAAAAAAAAAAGATAAATCTTCTGTACCATCCTTTTCTACAACTTTCTTTTTCTTTTCTTTTTTTGGTGCAGCTACGTCTTCTAACCCCTCCCTCCCCACCCAACGAAGCCTTGTTTAACACTTCATTCTTGTTTTGTACTCGTCTGATGGAAACTAATAAATCCTGAGCAGCCTTTTAAACCGCTTGCGTGTGGCTTTGTACTCTTGCGAACGGGAGGCGCAAGTTATTTCTTGCCCGAAGAAATTTAATAAGAAGAATAATTTTATTGGTATACCGTCCATCTTGACTGGGTTGCCCCAGCCACTCTGGGCAGCTCGAACAAAAGATTAAAAACACAATACAACATCATACGTTTAAAGGCTTCCCTATACAGGGTTGCCTTGTTACTAAGTGTTAGTGCAGGTAACATGGTTTGACCTCTACATTTGAGAGGGACTGTAGTACAGGAGGCATCACAAGGGGTCACACAACCGACCAGAGCAGCGCACGGAAACACTGTTTACCTTCCTGCCGGAGTGGTATCTATTTATCTACTTGCACTTTGACGTGCTTTCGAACTGCTAGGTTGGCAGGGACCGAGCAACGGGAGCTCGCCCCGTTGCGGGGTTCAAACCACCGACCTTCTGATCGCCAAATCCTAGGCTCTGTGGTTTAACCCACAGCGCCACCCGCGTCCCAATCCAGGTATACATGGAACAAAAAGCATTTTTTGCTTCCATTTGCCCAGATTTCTCATCTGTCTCCAGCCATGAGCCAGAGGCATTTGAGGAGGGGGGGGGTCCGTTTGCGGCTTTTAACTTTCCAAAGTTAATGGCCTGCATTGCTGGTTTAGCGTGACCAAACACTGGCTTCTGTGCACAACTTGCTCAGCCCTGAAACCTCCAGCTTTTCCTCCAGCTGTTTTTATCCTGCCGCTGGGAGCATTTTAACACAGTGAAATTGACAGAGGTGCTCTTGTCCGAGACCCAAAAAGTACCGCACTGAGATCAAAGTTTCCATCAAACCTCAATCCTACAAGTTCCGCTTGTTTTATTACATAGGCAAGGAACATTCCCCCCCCCCCACACCACCCAAAGGCCACATTTCCTCCTGGGCAACTTTCTGGGGGCCATATACTGTGGGTGTGCAGGGTCAGTGGTAAAAGTGAGCCGAGCAACAGATGCGAATTTTACCTTTCTACTGCACGTTAGTTTCTACACAAGCACACTACAGCATGGGTAGGCAAACTAAGGCCCGGGGGCCGGATCTGGCCCAATTGCCTTCTAAATCCCGCCCGCAGACGCTCCGGGAATCAGCGTGTTTTTATATGAGTAGAATGTGTGTTTTTATTTAAAATGCATCTCTGGGTTATTTGTGGGGCATAGGAATTCGTTCTCCCCCTCAAAAAATACATAGTTCAGCCCACCACATGGTCTGAGGGATGGTGGACCGGCCCCCTTCTGAAAAAGTTTGCTGATGCCTGTACTACAGTCTTCCATCAGACAAGCAAGAGATTATCCCAAGAATTCAGGGGTCCATTCCAGCCAGGAAGAAACACCTACCGAGGTGCAAACCAGAACCAGAAGGGTGAGGCCTGGGGAGATTTCTGAGGGCCAGACAAGAAGGCGTGGAGGGCCACTTTCAGCTCCCTGCCGCAAGCCATGCCTCTGTTCCCTTGGGAGTCTTTTCAGCACCTCTCATTCATTGCACATGTAGATTGTGGTGATCCAGGCACACTAGAGTAAGGTTGCCAGACGTCCCCGTTTCCCGGGGACAGTCCCTGGATTTACAAACCAGTCCCCTGACAAAATCCACTGAATACGACTGAAGTTGAATATTGTCCCTGGATTCATTGAAAAAAATCTGGTAACTTTAGAGAGAGCCTAAGAGAGGCAGATGGATGTTTCCTGGAGAAAAAGTGAAGCCGCAGCTGCTCCCTTGCAAATTTGGAGCATTCCAAAACCACAGGGAAAGAAGGCAGCATCCATTCTGGTGTGTTTTCAGTTGCCAGTGTGTGTTGCCATCTGCAACACGCCTCTGCGTGCTTCTGTGCTTTCGAGTCTTGCATCCATTTTCCTGCATAAGCCCTTTTAGAAAGATGGCCATTGTTTTGACTTTTCGGAAACATCCGCCCCTCAAAGATCCTGCCCAGCCGCTCCCACCCTGCTACCACATTAGCACATTAACTGGGGGAGAGAGAGAATATGGTTTGTGGTTTAACAGCTAAAATACCGGTGATACAACCAGCTCGTTCGCAGGAGTATCGGTTGTCAAAAGTACTTCTTTGCCAGCTAAAAAGCACTAATTTGATACAGTGAAAATCAGGACACGGAACTACTTGGGCTCGCTTGACAGGTACGAGCTAAAGTTACCCATAGGAACACTGGAAGCTGCCTTATGCAGAATCAGGCCCTTGGTCCATCCAGCCCAGCTCTCTCTCAACCATCTAATCACCACATAGATAAGACTCAGACAGCACTCAGAGTCAGGCAGGAGCGGAAGAAGCGAAGAGCAGTTTCTGCCCCCTCCTTTCTGAAAACATCATATCAGGAGATTCTCGCAATGGGAGGGGGCGAAAATATCAACATTGCCCCCATGGAAAGGCAGATCAGGAGGTCTTGCCGGCATCATTCTGTCACCTGCAAGAGAAAAAAAGGTAAGTAGGATGCCAGGAGTGCCAGCTTCTCTCACAGGTGAAGCAGGGCATCTCTAACAACAGGTGGGCCTTTGAGAAAGCCTTACCTGATGAGTGCAATTGGACCTTTGTGCCCATTTCATATGTAACTTGTGCAAAAATACATCTCCCCTCCTCTGGCCCCCTGGCCCCAACAGTCCCCCCCCCCCAAAATATGGAAAGAACCCAGAGATTGGTTTGAAAACCAATCGAATGAGACCAAACGGAGAAAAACCACCATCCTCCTTACCCAGGGGCCTCTCTCTGGTGACCAGAGGAGCCCGAGGTCTGCACTGACTACAAGTCTTCAATGATGATGCCATCTGGATGGAAGAGAATGAAAATGAGAGTCAGTCCGGTCGCTGCCCTCCCAGGCCAGGTCAGAAAGGCCTGCCAGGCAGGGGAGCAGGTCCTGCAGGACCCCCAGCAGGAAAACCTGGGAGGCAAGGACCTTAAAGCAAACAAGGGACAAGGGAGTTCACTGTTTCCAAGGCGTGGGGCTTACCTTCTTTGGGTCTCCGCTGGAAGCATGTGAGGTCTGGCTGAATTACTGTCATCTGCAAAAAAAAATAAAATCCGGGTCAGGTGATACTACGAAATCCACCCTGAATGGGAGCAAGAGAGCACAGAAGCAGCCCCAAACCAAGAACCACGGGCCTCCTGGGCAGAGGTGGAAGGGCAGCAGCAGCAGCAGGAAAGGGGGCAGGAAAAGCCTCTGGCCTCATCCTGGCCCCCAGGGACGCACAGCACATCATCTGCGTTAAAAGTCGCTGGGAAGAGGGCAGGGAGGCCCCAGCTGGGCCGTCTCATTCTAGCATTCTAGCTGCGAAGACCCATAGGCCTCTGCTCCGACGTAAATCAGCAACCCGGGCTTTAAAGCCAGGGCACACTATCAGCAGAACAAACTGCGCACACAGAATAGGCTTGAGGCTTGTGAAAGCATACTACAACTACAGATTTATTAACCATAAATCAGGACAAAGAAACATGTCGTCTCTCTCAGCGTCTTATCAGAGAGAACGGGGAAAACAAAAGCTATACACAACGGACGTTCCCAGCAAGCTGTGCCGGAATGTAAACAGACATGTGACACGCAACAGTTCCACATGTCTGCTCCTTAAGGTGGAATAGAAATCTCAACAGGGTGTGCTCTTGGGGGGATGGAAGCAACCGCAGAAATGAAGAGAAGAAGGCGAGGTACTTACTCTGAGTTGGGGGAATCTCCATGCCATGGCCAACAGCAGAGAAATGCTGCAGGCTGCTAGCTCCTGAGCCTCCCCAGTTTTGTCAAGGTCATATCCTTGGAGGTCCTGCGGGAGCAAAAAGCGTCTCAGTTGGGGCCAAAGCAGCAGGGCAGGCTCAAGCGCCTCAGCCCCAAGCAGGTTGTGGGGAGCGCACGTGGGACACTTACACTGAGCAGCTGGAGGAGGGGGCCAGGATTGGGGGCTTCCATCAGGAGACTCCCCAGCAGGAGCCGGAAGTGGCGCTTCAGTTCCTGCGGGAAAAGAGAGAAAAGAAGTTGAGTGCTGGGCAGATGCAGCGCCGGGGTGCGAATATCCACCCAGTGCCCCCAAATTACCACGGATAGTGTTGGGGTGGCCGTAGCTGCGTACTGCCAGCCACTGGGACAACTCTCCCCCATGCCGCTGCGGGAGAGCGATCCCCTCAGAGGCTTGGGAGGGAAGCTGCACGCCCGCCCGCCCGCCTTCTTGTTGGCGGGGTGCAGCTGGTGGGCGTGCAGGGAAAGGAGAGGCTGCTGGCAAAGCCGTGCAGCTCCCCACTTGCTGGGGCGCCCCTGAGAGGCTGGCACCCAGGCACAACGCACCACTAAGCCCTATGGGGAAGAAGAAGAAGAAGAGTTTGGATTTGATATCCCACTTTATCACTACCCAAAGGAGTCTCAAAGCGGCTAACATTCTCCTTTCCCTTCCTCCTCCACAACAAACACTCTGTGAGGTGAGTGGGGCTGAGAGACTTCAGAGAAGTGTGACTGGCCCGAGGTCACCCAGCAGTTGCATGTGGAGGAGCGGGGAAGCGAACCTGGTTCACCACATTACAAGTCCACCAGATTACTTAACCACTACACCACACTGGCTCCCTGGAAGAGGCCCTGAGTATCATCTAGTTCAACGGCCTGCAATGCAGGAATATGCAGCTGTCCCATACGGGGATCGAACCTGCAACCTGGTCCTTTGTCAGCACCATGCTCTAGCCAACTGAGCTGTTTCACAACACAACATGGTAGCTTTCATGCTCACGGTATCTGCTCCACCCACCCCACACCTCTGCCCAGGCAGAAGACCTCATGCCACCAGCTCCTGAAGGGACCATCAGTGGCCTGGGAGAACTGTTGGGGCCCTTGCCCCTGCACACACTTTCCCTGGGACTACTCGGTTCCCCAGATTATGAGTCTACCGCTCTTAACCACTACACCACACTGATTCTGGTGCTGCATGTGTGTGTGAAGAAGAAAGAGCCGTGCAAAGGGAAGTCCGGACAAAGGACATACCTCTCTGTCCTCCTCCTTTTGTGGGCCCCCAAGAACAGCCTCCAGAGTCCTGTGAAGGATGGCACTGAGCATATCACCGCTGAACTTTGGCGTCATGATACTGCAGAGATGAAGGGGAGCAGGTTAGACGCTGCCTCCTCCCAGTCCCCCTTGCCCCCTTCTCCCTCCTGCCTCCTCTTCCCCACCACCTGGAGCTCCCCCTGGAGTTCTGCCCCCCCCCCACAACTGCATCCATCCCAAGGACCCCACTCACCTCAGCTGGATGAGGGCCTCCAAGGCCAGGGTCAGGGGGCCATCCCTGAAGTTCTCCAAGGGTCCCAAGATGTCCTGGAAGAGAACAGAGGAGGAAGGTCAGCTCTTTCCGGGGGCCTCCGGAGGACGGCTCCGACCCCCAAGGCCCGGCCTGGCTTTCCAGGGGAATGGCAACCCCTTCCCCAAAGCCCCTCCCTCCCCCACCTCCCTGTGGGGGTCCCTCACACCACCCATCACTCACCAGAATGGCTTGGGCCGTCTCCTGCTTGGAGCACTTCAGGGTTCGGAGCCCCCTGAGATCAGCTGCCTGGCACTCTTTGTTCACCCCCCAGGAGGTACCGCTGTTTGTCCTCCAGCAGCTGAAATACAAAAGTCAGGCTGTCAGTCCTTGATGGTGGGGTGGGGGGGCCTCTCCGCATCTGAGAGGGCAGAGTGGGGGGCAAAATAGCCCCGGCAATGGGGAGATATTCACCCCTGGCGAAGGGATGGGGAACCTCAGCAGAATGAAAATAATAAAAATAAAATTTGATTTATATCCCACCCTCCCCAGCCGAAGCCGAGCTCAGAGCGGCTAACAATAAAAGTAACACAGCATTCTAAAGTCAATTCATTTTAAAATCAGTTCAAAACCCAATTAATGGCAACCATTGGGCTAGAGTTCTGTGAAGATTGCCAAAGGAGGGGGTCAGACTGTGCCTTGGCCAAAGGCCTGGTGGAACAGCTCTGTCTTGCAGGCCCTGTGGAAAGATGTCAAGTCCCGCAGGGCCCTGGTCTCTTGTGACAGAGCGTTCCACTAAGTTGGGGCCACAGCCAAAAAAGCCCTGGCTCTGGTTGAGGCCAGCCTAATCTCCCTGTGGCCCGGGACCTCCAAGATGTTTTTGTTTGAAGACCGTAAGGCCATCCTGGTCTCTGAGGGCCAGACAGGTCGCCATCTCAAGGACAAGAGTAGATCCAACCTCCATGGACTGGGGACTTGGCCAGGACAAGAGGGGGATGTAATAAACGAAAATCTGCCCTTATTCCCTTATGGGGGACACAAGAGCCCTTATAGAGTCCTTTGTGGTACTCCATCGGTCGGAGAATATAACAGAGGCCCACCAGAGAATATTGAGAAGCAAAGCAGCTCGTAAGCCTGATCTTTACTGAACTGTTGCAACAGGGTGCTCCCCTCACCCGCAGGAAAGGAGGAGGAACCCAGACCCCAGGTCTGCCCGCCCTTATATAGACATTTTAAATTGCCCGCCCTGGAGTCCAAGGCCACCCCCAGAAACATCATACATACATCACAGAAGGGGTGTAGCTCAAGACCACCCCCCAGACACATCATACCTACAACACAGAAAGGGCGGTCTACAACAGAAATCTGAGTGCGTTGTTTACCTCCTGTCTGGCAGGTTACCTGTTAATGCTTACTTGATTGGATATCCTGGGGAGCCTGGCCAGTCTTTTGTAATGATAAATAGTTCCTGAGCCAAGTCACAGGGTCACCCTATTCATACACAGACATACCCTTAAGACAGGTATTGTGAATGAAAAGACAATGGGGAGGCTTTTCCATTTTCCTTTCACCTTGCAGAGAAAACATTTGGTCAGTCTGGGAGCCAAAATGGTTTTAGGACTGCCCTCCTGTGCTGCCTCAGACATGTGGCCTATACATTTATGTACATGTTTGCCTGGCAAATCCATAAACATTATATATATATATATAAGAGACCTTTATTTTTTTATTTCACGGGACTCAACTTGGCTGGGAAACAGGAACATGTCTTATATTTTCCTTTGTTTTACTCAATGGGTGTAAGGTGGAGGTCAAGGGAGGGACAGGGGCAAATCTGAGACTCAGGTTTCCACCAGAAAAACCCACCCAGTTTGTGACACAGATGTGATGCATGTATGCCATTTTATTAAAAGGTGCGGGTAAAATTGACCTTTTTCTGCTTCTTCCAGTTGGCAGTTGAAAGTCCTGTTGCAACAGTTCATTGAATAAGGAGCCAAGACTCTGCAGGGGACCCCAGGACTCACCCCCCCCCAGGAGACGAAGAGAAAGGTAGGAATGCTACTTACAGCCTGCCCATTTCTGCCACGAAAAATTCCCAAACTCCTCTCTAAACTAGTTAACTATCTAAAATGCCCACCCAAGCCTAACTGTCACCCTAACCCCAACCCCCAGCCCTAACACTAACTACTCCTCTATAAACAAAATAAATATATACAGAATCTATACAAAATAGGCCCAAAGGTGCACTAAATAAAAATGTAAAATAAAAAATAAAGAACAAAAAGTAAAATAAAACTGTTGAAATAAACCAAATCAAAATAAATCAAAGTAATCAATCAATCAAAATCAAAATAAGAAACTGGAAAAATAACAGCAAACCAAACTCCTCTCCTAATCGCCACCAACTGCCACTAACTCCTCTTTCTCTACTCGCCTCACTACTAACCCACAGTAGCTGCCTGCAAGTGGGTGGCTTTTAAAGGAGAAGCAAGAGAGGTCACAAAGGAGGGCGGGTCCTGGTCACCGTGGCAACCCCCCCCCCACACACCTGAGCCCACCTGGCCCCTCCCAAGAGGGGAGGCTCCTCTCTCAGAACTCAGAATCTTCCTTTCATCTCCTTCTTCCCAAAGAGAGACCATCCCCACATCCTTCCAGGCAGGCTAGGGGTCTCCATAGCGCAGGATTGGACCATCTGCTTGGCGTGCAGGTCTTCCGTCGTGGGCTGCATCTCCGGGGGGGGGGGCTGACAATGTGTCCCCCCCCCGTCCGAACCCCTGGAGAACTGCTGCCGGTCAGTGAAGGCGATGCTGAAGTCAGTGGCTGACAGGACTGACTGTCCATGGCAGCTTCCTAGGAATATTCCTCTGAAGTTCTTTAGCTGAAGAGGAGCAGGCTAACTTCTGCACCGGATCAACCATCAATTCCTTTCGTTAAGAGACAATCTGGGAAAGTCCCTGTTTAATATACAACAATGCCAGTGCAAAAGTTCTGAATGTGAGAGGAAGCAGAATTCTTCCCTCTGCAAGAAAGCCATAGGCCAAGGGGATCCCCCCCCCAGTGGACTAGATGACTCCCAGGGTCCCTTCCAGATCTTCCATTCTAGGGGGTCAACTGCAGTAGACCCTTCAGATTTCCAAGCAGTCCTCCAGTTACGAAATTTTCGGGATATGGCCGGGCCCCCGGAACGGATCCTGTTCATCATCGGAGGTACCACTGTACAGAAGTCCATATAAACCACGTGTCTGAAATAGTACAGGAGAGCAATCCTGAAGCCATTCTGATTCTCCCAATGACCTCAAATATTCCTCTGCAGGAAGGGAGGCAAAACGTGTCCCATTTTAGATTGTTGTCAAATTCTTTTCTGTTATTTTTGTAACTGCTTTTTTTTATGTTGTGCACATTTGTTTTATTTATATTTGTTAATTTTACATACCTCCCTTCATTTGAATATCACAAGGCGGTTTGCAATATAAAAACACAAAAATGCAAAAATATATGACATTGCCTTGGTGCCAGGGCCAGCACATCCATGAGCCAAGGTGAGGTGACTGCCTCAGGCGGCAGAATCCACAAGGGCAGAAAATCCCAAAGTCGATCTTTTTCCCCGCCCTGTTCCTCCTCAACCACCCCTTCTTCCCTGACTGGGGGGCATTTTGTGGTTCACCTCAGGTACCAAAATGTGTTGGGCCAGCCCTGCTTGGGACACAGGTAGAAGGCAATTCATACATTATTGTTATAGAATTGATCATAATGACGTTGAAGACTGCACTTGTAGAATAATAATCTTTCTCTGCGGTTTGATTTGGGGCTTGGATGTTTGTCCTGGTAACTAGAAATGCTCCTTCAACGTGCCCCGTCCATAGCTGTCAACTGTCTCTTATTTGGCGGGAAACTCCCTTATCCCAGCGCCGTGTCCCGCTGCTGTCCCTTATTGATGATGTCCCTTAAATTTCCCAGGTTTCATGCTTGCCCGGCTCGGGAGGGTAGCAGAGGCTCGGGGTCCTCCGCTGCGAGAGAGCGCGTGCGCTGGCACTGTCGTCCTGTCGCGAGGAATTCCATTGGCCCTTCCCCGCCCGAGAGGGGATGGGAGGGAGAGAGACTCTCGCCCACGCCGCCCGCGAGCCCGGAGGCGGCAGCGGTGGTGGCAGCTGAGGAGGCGGACTGAGGGAGGAGGAAGAGGAGGGGATGGGGAGGGACGCAGAAGGGCGGCGCTTTAGTGGCTGTCGTGGCACCGCAACCGCCTCATGCCGGATTGTCAATCCTACCAACGTATGTAACTCTTTACAATAGCAAAATCCCTTATTTTTGAGGCTGCTGGTCCCTTATTTTCAAATCTGTAAGTTGACAGCTATGGCCCCGTCCTGTGTGCATGAGCTTTTTACCCTTCACATGGTTAACTCTCGACATGGATGGGCCGTGGGGAGATTTCACATCTTGGAAGTTGCATCAGAACAGGAAGTGACTCTCCATTATCCCTGCAGGAGAGTGCAATCAGATCCAAGACCCAAGTTTTCCGTGAGGACGACCAAAAATAACATCAATTCACTGGGCTGTAATAAGCTTCAGATGCCACTGCAACTGGGTTGTGTTTTTTTAAAATATATTCCAGGCAGAAGTTTAAAAATTGCATCCTTAGTCATTTCTGAGCCAAGCGAAACTCTTGCCAGTCAAAGCAGCAACGAGTCCAGGCAGCTGGCTCGAATCATAAATAGTGATTTAGAGAGGAGAGTGCGAGTTGGGTTTTTCCTACAATCCTGTCCTTGAGCTCAAGTTACTGGGAACAGAATCAGGTTTTGTCAACTGGGATTCCTGATTCCGTTAGCTGGAAGGAACTAATCCATGCTGTTTCGGGATGCAAACACATAGGAATTGCTTCCCGTTATATTTTTCAGTGTACACCGAAGATGTTTCAAAGCACACTATAAGTGAGTGTTGAAGGATACTTGGGGTGACCTTAAGGACTCCAGTGCAGATGGAGATTTGCTTCCTTTCAGCCTGGCCCCATTCATCTGTTAATTGGAGAGTAGTTAAGGGTGCTGGAAATTATAGCACTGGGGGGAGACAAGGGCAGTTCCCAGGTTTCTCTGCGGGAAGCCATGTGTTTTAAATGTATGGAATGGGTGTGACCTAGCTTGGTGTAAAGAAAAGCTAAAACAAGGGAGGTAAAAATAAACCCAACCTATACAAGTGAGAGGGACGCGGGTGGCGCTGTGGGTTAAACCACAAAGCCTAGGACTTGCCGATCAGAAGGTTGGCGGTTTGAATCCCCGCAACGGGGTGAGCTCCCGTTGCTTGGTCCCTGCTCCTGCCAACCTAGCAGTTCAAAACCACATCAAAGTGCAAGTAGATAAATAGGTACCACTCTGGCGGGAAGGTAAACGGCATTTCCATGCACTGCTCTGGTTTGCCAGAAGCGGCTTATTCATGCTGGCCACGTGACCTGGAAGCTGTTCACCGGCTCCCTCGGCCAATAAAGCGAGATGAGTGCCACAACCCCAGAGTCGGCCACGACTGGACCTAATGGTCAGGGGTCCCTTTACCTTTTATACAAGTGAGAAGAAACTGCATAAAGTTGAAATTTTATATTTCAGAAATCTTTTTTGTTGTTGTTTTGTTTATAGAAAAGTTTGAATAGTTTTTAAATGTCCCTTTATTGTCACTAAAATCAAACCAGAATTTGAATTTGAACGTATTTGTCCTCCAAAGTAAAGTCTTCTTCTTCTTCTTTGGCGATCCCTCCTAGCCGAGTAAGATTGTCTTCCATAAACACGGTTTTAACAATGAGTCTGTAAGTGACTGTGGAGGCCAATTCTGGATCCACACGTCCTTCCACAGTGGGGGCATGGGTTTCTGGGTGGGAGTTGATCACAGTGAGGGTTTGCCAAGCGTGCCTTCCTCTTAGCACATTTCTCCCTTGCGTCCTGAGTTCGAGCGTCTTCAAAGCCCATGACTCCTTTGGTAAAGGCTGTTCTCCAACTGGAGCGCTCGCAGGCCAGTGTTTCCCAATTGTCAGTGTTTATACTACTTTTTTTTTTTTTTAGATTTGCCTTGAGAGAGTCTTTAAACCTCTTTTGTTGACCACCAGCATTACACTTTCCATTTGGAATAGAGTAGTAGAGGAACTACAATAAGCCAGAAAATCTCTGGAAAGAAAAAATATATATATAAAAATATATAATATATATTTTATATATTTCAAGAGAAAATATATTCTGAACAAAGTCATGAGGCTGGCCTTTGGGAAGAGAAGCGGGTCCTGCAATTATAGGGCTGGTCTTGTTTGAACAGAGCAGGGTGCCTTAGGCATTAAGATACAGTGGTACCTCAGGTTAAGTACTTAATTCGTTCCGGAGGTCTGTTCTTAACCTGAAACTGTTCTTAACCTGAAGCACCACTTTAGCTAATGGGGCCTTTTGTTGCCGCTGCGCCACCGCCGCATGATTTCTGTTCTCATCCTGAAGCAAAGTTCTTAACCCGAGGTACTATTTCTGGGTTAGCAGAGTCTGTAACCTGAAGCATCTGTAACCTGAAGCGTATGTAACCCGAGGTACCACTGTACCAGCAGGATGTTGGTACCAACCGTCCAACCTTGGTTTAAACCCTTCATGCATTTTTGTAACCTCACTCACTAATCTTCAGGACCACAGCAGTTCAGATAGGGAAGGGCTGGCAAACAACGCTTGATAAGCCCCAAGGGAATGCCACACAAGCCCACGAGCACATAGGCAGGTCCACCTTGGAAAGCAGGGGAGAAGATGAGCGTCAATAAAAGAGCCACGACTGAGCCAAGGAAAATAGTAAGACCTATCCGTAGAGTTTAGGGTTGGGTTCCATGGACAAAATTGTGTGTGTGTTGGCAGATTTCTCCATGCTCAGATCCAGGATGAATTCCACCATCACATAACAGTTGAAACACATGGCTTTCCCCCCAAAGAACCCTGGGAACTGTAGTTTGGTGCAGGAGCTTGGAACTGGAGCTCAGTTGGGGGCACAAACTACAGTTTTCAAGATTCTTTGGGGGAGGCTATGACTGGTAGATTGATAGGGGTTTCTACCTTGCAAGGAACTTAGAACTGCAGAGTTCAAAGGGGTCATCTAGTCCAACCCTCTACAATGCAGGAATCCTAGCTAAGGAACTTGTATTGTGTGAGAGACATTGGCTAGGTGAGCCTGCAGGTACAGTCCAGACCTCAGTGAATACTAGTTCGCAACTCTGACGGAGATATGCACTGGCACATTTCTTAACTACTGTGAAGGAACATCTCCACTCCCATCGTTCTACCTGGACTCTGAGGTCCAGCTCTGAGGGCCTTCTGGAGGTTCCCTCCCTGCGAGAAGAAAAGTTACAGGGAACCAGGCAGAGGGCCTTCTTGGTAGTGGTGCCCGCCCTGTGGAACGTCCTCCCATTAGATGTCAAGATGTCTATCTGAGTTTTAGAAGACATCTGAAGGCAGCCTTGTTTTGGGAAGTTTTTAATGTTTGATGTTTTCCTGTGTTTGATGTTTTAGTTCATTGGAAGCTTCTCAGAATGGTTCGGGCAACCCAGGACTCAGCTACATTTGTAAAGAAAAAGCGTTTTAAATGCGCAATAACACCAGGGACTCAGCTATATAGCTGCAAATAAAATATTTTAAGAGTGTTTTAAGTGCAATGTGGCACTAGATGGCGATGGCGAGAGTCATGGAAAATTCAATGTATTTTTAAAAATGCTTTTTAAAAAGCATTTTCAGAATGTTTTTTTTGTATGTGTGTAGATTCTACCCCGATGGCTTTGTGGAGTTCCGACTTCCGGCAATGTGTTTTCCTGAAACGTTTTTTTTAAAAGATGTGTTTAGATCCCGCCCCAGTCAGATGGGTTGAGTACAAATTATAATATTTTTATTTTTATTAATCTTAGGCAGACATCCCTGGGCGATGGAGAGTGTCTTCAGTTCTTGGAATGAGCAGAACCATAATCTGTACCCAATCATAGTGGGTTAAGCATAACTTGGAGCAGTCTCTAGGGGAAACTGTCACATCAACAGCCTTGGTGTTTGTTTTTAAAGAACAAAGCACTCCAAACCATTATTTACCAAAGCTGTAACTCCCATCAGCAGTTTCCAAGGTGCTATCAAGTATTTGTTTGATGTGTTGCATAACTGAATTTTATCCAAGGTGACTTGGCTGCTCCCTGTCCACTTAGACATCTTCGAACTATTTTTGCAAACAGGTTGCTCAAAGGGAGAACCATCTCCTGTTAACTGCATAGCACTGCAGGGCATTGGGTGACGTGCCTTCAGGGTGTCGCTATTTTGTGCGAGGAATTCAAGCGGGTACCAGGAAATTTAGGTTGGCGTAGCTGACATTGGTGAAAGCACTCTGACGCCCCTAGCAGAACAAATTCACTTTTTAAAAAATGGCAACACTCTTCCTGGGCCACGACCTTCAACAGGAACTCTTGAATCCCTTCTGAAGAGGTACCAGCCCAGACACAATAACAATGAGACCTGGGTGCGAGTGTGCTATCTTTAACCAGTTGAATGCTGGTTAAGATGTATAATAATAATAAATTTTATTTATATCCCGCCCTCCCCAGCCGAAGCCGGGCTCAGGGCGGCTAACAACAATAAAATAGTACAACATTCTAAAATCATTTCATTATAAAATTAATTCAACTCAAATTGCTGGCAACCATTAGGCTAAAGTTCTGTGAAGATTGCCAAAGGAGGGAGTCAGGCTGTGCCCTGACCAAAGGCCTGGTGGAACAGCTATGTCTTGCAGGCCCTGCGGAAATATGTCAAGTCCCTCAGGGCCCTAGTCTCTTGTGACAGAGCGTTCCACCAGATCGGGGCCACAGCCAAAAAAGCCCTGGCTCCGGTTGAGGCCAGCCTAACCTCTCTGTGGCCCGGGATCTCCAAGATGTTTTTGTTTGAAGACTGTAAGGTCCTCCGTGGGACGTACCAGGAGACGCGGTCCCATAGGTACGAGGGTCCTAGGCCGCCAAGGGCTTTAAAGGTTAAAACCAGCACCTTAAACCTGATCCTGTACTCCACCGGGTGCCAGTGCAGCTGGTATAGCACCGGGTGAATGTGATCCCGTGGCGAAGACCCCGTAAGGAGCCTCGCCGCGGCATTCTGCATCCGCTGGAGTTTCTGGGTCAGTCTCAAGGGCAGCCCCACGTAGAGCGAGTTATAATAATCCAGTCTGGAGGTGACCGTCACATGGATCACAGTGACTGAACATTCCTTATCGCCTGTTTTTCCAACACTGAGCAGGGAACTCTGTGGTTCTGTTCTCTCTCTCCCGGCCTGAACCTAAACTGAAGTTATTTTTAGTTCTAATGTTTTCGCAAGCGCCGTCAGGAGCCAAGAACAGGGAAATGCAGAGCTCTAGAGAACTTCTCCAAAGTTCATAAAAACAAGTGGGAGGGAAGAGGAATCTGGTTTTCGTCGCTGTCTGCCCAGACCGAGAAGTTGCTCCTGCCAAATTCATACTTTCTGCCACATCTGAGGTTATGAATATGCCACAGTGGGGAAAGCTGCACCTGTTGAATAACTGCATGCCACTGTTAAAAGGCATAGGGAAGGAAAGGAGGAGTAAACTGACACGACAGACCACATAACAAGGGCGATAACAGGAATTTTTAGGGGGAAAGCTTTCAAGAGTCTTCTTTAATAATAATAAAAACAATATTAAAAAGTTAAATATTTGATGCAGTTTGAAAAAACAGAAACTTTCCAAAATATGGGTGCCAACTGTCCAATAAGTTGTCTGGTCTGTGCCTCTGCCTCTAACTCCTTGAACTATTGGCTGACAGTGATGGAGACTGTAGCCCAAAACATCTGGAAAGCATCAAACTAGTATTTAAAACCTGTTGGCATCCAGCGTGCCAGTTCACCAGGTTCCTCAGTCATTTTCAGAGCCTTCCATGCCATCGGTGCAAAACATTATCAGTAACTAACTAAGATCTAGGCAGCTCAATCCTGCCCGCTGCTCCCCAAATCCCCGAGGGAACTTGAGCGAATCATCTTTTAAAATCAACCTTATAAAAATATTTTGCGACAAGAGCTAACTTGTGCCAGCAGTCTACATCAGCTGTGTTGTTCTCGATACCTTGGGGACTTTTCTATTCTTACCTAAGGATTGTGTTATACAGGAACTTATAACAAGAAGCAGTAAGACCTAGCCACGCGATGGTCACCTCCAGACTGGATTATTGTAACTCACTCTACGTGGGGCTGCCCTTGAGACTGACCCAGAAACTCCAGCGGGTGCAGAATGCCGCGGCAAGACTCCTTATGGGGTCCTCGCCACGGGATCACATTCACCTGGTGCTATACCAGCTGCACAGGCTCCCGGTGGAGTACAGGATCAGGTTTAAGGTGCTGGTATTAACCTTTAAAGCCCTAATTGGCCTAGGACCCTCGTACCTATGGGACCGCCTCTCCTGGTATGC